TTCAGAATGTGTTGAGTACCTACTATACCCCAGGGAATGTGTTACCAGGGGGTTATTATAATCACTAAAATCTAAATGCATTGAAGCCGGTCAGAGAAGGACAAATACCACATGATTGCACTAAATATGTGGAATCTAATGAACAACAAAAAAAAATAAATTCACAAATAAAATAGATCCAGAGACATGGAAGCATGCAACAGACTGAAGGATCTCAAAAGGGAAGGGAAGAGGGGGAGGAAGAGATGAAGGAAATAATTTGTATGCATGTATGTATAACCCATGAACATAGACAATAGTATGGTGAAGGCCGGTGGCAGGGGGAAATTGGGAGCAAGTTGGAAGAGGTCAAACGGGGGAAGGAAGGGGACATCTATAATACTTTCAACAATAAAGATATATTTTTAAAATAGCTCTGTGATTTTTAGAAATACACACAATATGTATAATTTAAAATTTATTTCTAAATGTAAAAAATTTGACATTTTAAAAATATTTTTTATTTTATTTCAGAGAGGAAGGGAGAGGGAGAGAGAGGTAGAAACATCAATGATGAGAAAGAATCGCCGATTGGCTGCCTTCTGCTTGCTCCACTCTGGGGATCAAGCACACAACCCAGGCATGTGTCCTGACTTGGAATCGAACCATGACCTCCTGGTTCATAGATCGACGCTCAACCACTGAGCTACGTTGACTGGGCAACTTTTCTATTTCATTAAAACCTCTCCAAGCATCCATAAAATGCCAAGACCCTTATTCATTTATTTATTTGTTATATATTTTGGAGACCTGGACCTTCTCCAAGCAAACTAAGAACATCATATAGTTTGTTATTATAATTTTTTATTATAGAATTCCAAAAATACTATCAATTTTATGTAGAGTTCTTGTTATTATATAACTCCAAATAAAATCTCAATTGCACATCTGTAAAAATAATTTTTATAACAAACTATCAATCTCCAGATTATGAAAGGTACCTTAAGAATAGGAAGCCGTACCGAAATCAATTACCCATTATCAATGAAGTTAATAATTTAGATAAGCCTTTCTTTTTCAGCACCCTCAGTTTTGGTTTAAAATACATCAATTCCAAAATATCTATGTTTTTAATAACTTGAACTTTTCCCACATTCCTCTTTTGCAAAAATAAACTTTATAGCCATTTTCCTAATTCAAGTCCTCAATATGGCCCAACTGACCACTTGCTAGTGGTGAAAGTTTAGTTTTCTTTATGTGGTAGGGACTCTTGCCCTCTTAGAATGCCACAGGAATTGGAGAGTTTATGCATTGCCAGAATACAGGGATAGACCTACACCTGTTTCATTGTGGTGCTATTCATACTGCTCCTTCTGCAAGACAGAAATGTTGCCCAGCTGACATGGCTCAATGGTTGGATCATTGATCAATGGAGTCCCTTTCCTTCTGGGGCCCACAGATGCTCTGAATGGGCTCAGAGATGCCCACACAGCAGCCTCCCCACAGAGGGGAGACTTCCCCACAGATTCTCCCATTAATTTTTCTGTCTCTCATGTGCATAGACATTCTACAGGCACATAACCACATCAGGGCAGGCTGGATGTTGGTTTGCTACTCAAAAAAATCCTAAAACCCTTTCAGTCTCAGGCTCAGTAAACTCTCCTTGTCATTTTGCATTAGCCCTCTACAAACCCCCGTTCTTCAGGACACAACACTATCTTTATCTTCTAAACCCGACACATGGGACAGATTGCCTCTGAAATGCTTTTTGGCAACTCATGTTTTGCCCTGAAACATGACAGGTGTTAAAGTCTGCCTGAGGAAAGTGAGCCCCAAATCAGAATAGAATAGACTGTGGAAGTGAAAATAATTCTCCATTCTGCAAGTCTCCTACAACACTAAGGACACCATGAAAACTGTTAACTCTATAAATTATCTTGCCATCTATCCTTTATTTGTATTGAATCATGTTGTACTTTAAAAAGAGTAATATTGTTAACAGTACAGATAGTATGGCAGAACTGTTTCAATATACTGGAGAGAAATAAAAAACACATATTGTATCTGGATTGACTTGTAAGGATAGTTTCCTTAATCAATGTTGCTTTCAACAGATAGATATAGATAATTCAGAGATGAAAGAAAGAGCTTTCAGCTCCCAAGTATTTTCTTATCTAGTTTCTGCTGTGGGAAATTGTGTCAGTTCTTGAAATTGTTTAAATCTGGAATATAACCATTATCATGGTGAAATGGGTGGAGTTTTTTTGTTTGTTTGTTTGTTTGGCCAGTAATTAATAGATAGAAACATTTCTCCTCTACCTTTTTTGAAAAGTGAGAGCCTTGGTACAAAAGGTAGTTTGCACAGATTTGTATTTGAATGCTGGGTAGGCATCAAAAAAAAATCTGCCAAGAAAGTTTCTCCTCCCAAGGTTTATAAAGGAACATGAACTGCCTCAGAATATATAAGAACTGTGTCTTACTGTCTGAAGATATTATGCACACTATGTGAGTGTTCTTCTACCAAAAGATCACCATCCAAATCACATTCAAAATTTCTGACTTCAATGAATCCTTGCTTCATCAATAGTGTAGATTCAGTTGTCCTGTTTTCATTCTGAAAATGGTATAATTTTAGCAAAGTGAAAAGAGCAGTTTTAACTGCCAACATTATCTCTGTATCCTAAGAAGGCCATCCTGTAAGTTTCTGGTGAATGTACTGATGGAGAAATTAAATGCAGATTACTTTATATCTTAGTTATCATATTTCTAGGTTTATAATTTCTTAATTTTTCCACTGGAGTTTTGGTTTCAGTTTTAAGTGAGAGACTGCCTTTGTTCAGAGAAATCAGCATTGAGGAGCCCTGAGAATCACAGGCTCTGACATCCAGGGAAGATGTGAGAAAATTAGA